AGGAGGAGGAGGAGGAGGAGGAGGAGGAGGAGCAGGAGGAGGAGGAGGATGAGGAGGTGGAGGAGGAGGAGGAGGAGGAAGAGGAGGAGGAAGAGGAGGAGGAAGAGGAGGAGGAGGAGGAGGAGGAGGGAGGAGGAGGAAGAGAGGGAGATGGGCGGAAGGAACAGTTAAGACCGCCCCTCAGACTTTTTCGGGTCTTGTGGAAGCCAGTCTGGGCCACCTCGGGCCCGCCGCCAGAAAGCATCAGCATTTACTGCTTCGGAGTCGTGCTCTACCCAGCCTTGTGATCGGCCGATCGGCCTGGGGGGTCCTGGTGAGGACCTCGGAAGGTATAGATACGAATGATCTCTGGCTGTGCAGCAGGGGGGCGACATCCCTCCCTATCCTCCTTGACCTACTCGTCGTCGTCGTCGTCGTCGTCGTCGTTGTCGTGTTCGTCGTCGTGTTCGTCGTCGTGTTCGTCGTCCGTCGTCGTCCGTCGTCCGTCGTCGTCCGTCGTCGTCCGTCGTCGTCGTCGTCGTCGTCGTCGTCGTCGTCGTCGTCGTCGTCGTCGTCGTCGTCGTCCGTCGTCGTGCGTCGTCGTCCCGCGTCCGTGGGCGTGGCGCCCGAGGCTCAGGAGGGGGAAATACACACAGAGACAAGTCATTGTCGATCCCCAGGAAACGAGTGGAGGGAGAATCTGGGAAGTGGGAGGGGGAGACGAGCATCCAGGAACAAAAAGGGGACACTGTGGAGCATCCTGGGATCTGCGTGCATCCTTGTGTGCATTTGTGTGCATTCATGTGTGCGTGTGTGTGCGCGCGCGAGTGTGTGTGTGTGTGTGTTTTTGCGTGCGTGCGTTTGTGTGTGTGTGTGTGTGTGTGTCCCTGGGCCTATCTCCTCTCTGGAGGCCCCCATTCCCCTCTGGGGGCCCGCTGCCCCCCCCCCCCCGGTGGCCGCCGGCCGCCTGCTTGGCGGCGGCGCGCCGCTCGAGCTCCGCGGGTCCTCCGGGCTGCGGCGCTGGCCTCCTCCCCCAGCGCAGGTGGGCAGGTGTACATCACCGGAGGAGCAGGGAACCGAGGCAGGTCTTTGGCTCTGCTCCGCCCACCCAAGGCTTCTCTCGGCGTGGGGTAAACTCCGCCCCTCGTCCTCTTGCTCCTCTTGCTCGTCGTCCTCTTCCTCCTCCCCTCCTCCTCCCCCTCCTCCGCCTCCTCCCCCTCCTCATCCTCCTTTTCCTCCTCCTCCACCTCCTGCTCCTCCTGCTCCTCCTCCTCCTGCTCCTCCTCCTCCTCCGCCTCCCCCTCCTCCTCCTCCTCCTCCTCCCTCCCCTCCTCCTCCTGCTCCTCCTCCTCCTCCTCCCGCCCCTCCCCCTCCCCCTCCTCCTCCTCCTCCTCCTCCCTCCTCCTCCTCCTCCTCATCCTCCTCCTCTCCTCCTCCTCCTCCCCTTGCTCGGCGTCACCCCAACATACTTATACAATATGTGCGTCGCCCCCCCAGGGGCGACGCGCGCACCGAGAAATCTTACAGTATATGCGTCGTGGCGGGCGCATTCTGGCAACACCGCTCGGGAAACGATATCTTACAAGATGGGTAAACTATATGTTCGGGTCGGACGCGCGCCTCCAAGGAGAACATATAGTATTAGCATGTCCCTGTGCGTCCCGTCTGCGGAGCTCCCAGGGCTGCTTCCTGCAGGCTCAGAGGTTGACGCCAACACCAAGATCGGCGGTGTGCCTCCACCGAGTGAGGACGATCCCGATCTCGGCGATGGTGACATTCTGGCTGCCAAGGTGACCGAGATATGAGCACCGACACCGAAATCTGGGATCATCTTCCCCATGTGGGGGCGACCCCCCGTGCTGGTGCTGGTGGCAACTTCCAGGCCTCCAATGGATCCAGGGCTGCTTCCCAGACCTCCCCTGAGGTGTGACGTTGCAAGAACACTGCGACATGGCTGAAAGTCACGCCCGCAGCCCCCGACCCCCCTCTTCCTGCGTCCTTCTTCGAGCCGCATCGATCTGTGAGGCTCCTGGGCCCCGAAAGGGAGCGAAAGCGCCCGCTGCGAAAGGATTGCCGCGCCAGGCCTTCGGGGCCCAACGCCTCGAGACACTCGAGGCGAGGGTCCTGCGCAGCCTTCGCCCCCTGGGGGGGGTCTCGCCGGGCCCTGGGGCCGTCCACGAGACGGCTCGGGCGGAGGAGCCGGCCCCAGGGGGCGAGGTCCAGGCCTCCAATAAGACGACGCGAAGAGCGGGACAAAATCGGATCGGGATAACTCGAAATCTCTGAGAATCGGCGGGTTTGGAGGATGTATTGGGCGCCGCGGCCGCTCCAGAGCGTTCCGGAACGCTCTGAGAGCGCTCCGGAACGCTCTGGAGCGATTTATCCCGATCCTAGCCCTGTTTTATCCAAGGGAAGCCGCCTCGAGAAGCTCACGACCTCGGACGCTCGGTCGGGGGTGGGCAGGCCTCCTACCCCTGACGCGTCGATTCGTGCACTGTCCGTTTTCGGTTCTCGGGAGGGC